AATAATTTCAGCTTTTCTAAACGTCTTTCTGCAAAACGAGCTCTGAAACGATTTCACTTTAGTATGTTTTCTCATATGTCTTCTAAGGTGGCAAGTTGTGGTAAATGTTTTTCCACATTTGTTATCAAGTAACACAAAAAGATTTGTTACTGGATGAATCTTGATAAATTTTCCGAAAAATTACAAAATTATCTATTATAATTTTAAAAATATTTAATATTATGTTCAGGTAGAATATTTAACATAATAAAATTACGGAAGTTTTTTAACCAGAAACAACCATATCATTAAAATCTTTATCTTTAGTAAATTTGGCACAGCTACCATCCTATGTTTTTTGGATGTTGATTTGTTTCTTTGTTACGTTATTAATTTGACAACGAGTTAATAACTTGTTTTTTCCTCGGCCTCTGCATCTATCCGTTTTCCTTTTTGGTAACTCTTCTAGTCTGTTTTTGTTACAGGACATTGTTAGAGTTTTCCCTGTTCACCGCACCCACATGTGAATACTTTTCTTTTGTCGTCGCGTAAGATTAAGTGATCTTATCTTGACGCAATTTTGATGAATTGGGTAAAATATCTTTTACATTTTAAGTATTTGCAAGGACTCTCATTTGTATTGATGCGTTTTTGCTCTTTAATAATTTTAGCTTTTCTAAACGTCTTTCTGCAAAACGAGCTCTGGAAAGATTTTACTCCCGTGTGCTTCCTCACGTGTCTCCTGAGGTGGCAAGTTTTGGTAAACGGTTTTCCACATTTGATGGAAATATGGGGTTTCCTGAAGAAGTAATGCCACTCTCGGTCTTTCGGCTAGAATTTCGATGTCGATTATTTATTGTTGTTTGTAGATTGAACGGTTTCACGTGAATTCCAAGCAGTAAACCTATTTAAGGAAACTGCGAAATAACGATTTTTAAATCTCACTTTCTCACAACATTTGTGTGTGAAAACTTTTCCAAAGTTATCAAGTAACACGAAAATATTTGATACTAGATAATTCTTGATGAATTCTTCAATCAATATCTTAATTACAAATTTTAGTTCGATAAATATTTTACATCAAGAATGTAAGTGAAATTTTCAACATATCCACTTTACTCCAGTTTTTTTATTCATTACGTAATGAATTTGGCAAGGAGTTAGTAACTTGTTTTTTCCTCACCCTCTGTATCTATCCGTTTTCCTTTTTGGTAACTCTCCTAGTCTGTTTTTGTTGCAGGTAATGGTTAAAGTTCTTTTTTATGCATAGCACCTACATATGTAAACTCTTCTCTCGCCTTTGAGTAAAACCAAGTGATCTAATCTTGAAGCAGTTTTGATAAATTTTTTATCGGTTAGTCGTATAATTTTGTTTAACCACAACTTGTGGCGATACACGTTGTGACTGTCTTTGAGAAAGTTTACTAATTTTTTTGATAAAATAAATTACTCATTATGCACCTAAAAAAATTCCCAGCAAAAAACTCTGTCGTCTTCTAGCAAAGCTACCCTGTGGGAATCTCCTGCAATTATTTGGATTACTTGCGCCAGTAATTAAACGTTATCGAGGACATATTTTCTATTCTCCTCAGTGTTCCGGCCCAGGGCTTCTTCATCGTTGCATCCAAATGTTGCAACATTGCCTTCTTCTGTCAAACAAACATTGTGCATACCGCCTCCGGATATGGCAATGACATTATATTTGTCAATTGGGGTACTCGTGAAAACCATGACTTTTCAACACATCCTCTTCCAAACCTAACTGTGCTGTATACCCTTGACCGCAAGTCAAAATAATACCACCTGTCCTTACCTTACGCCTGATTACCTTACACCTAGGATCTGGAAACATTATACATACCACCTCTAAGAGTTTGTAGAATCTGTCAGATTAAGACAGAATTGTACTAGGGTAGATATTAAGCACCAAGGTAGCATAGCATATTATTTCCTACAATTGATTAACTGCAGGTTGGGATAGCTAAAAGTCCACCAAGTTCGTTGGATGCGTCTTTTGTAGTAGGCATCCAAAGGGTTTACTACTGCGATCTTTATCTCTTGGGCTTTCCAGATGAGAATTCTGCTTGTCGTTAAAAAAATAGGTTACTCTTAACACGTTTCTAACTTTTATTTCTTACACGTGTTGGTGAGCGTGCCAATGAACTGTAGTCAAATCATGGGGCTTGAGTCACCTTTGGCTTTCAGGCGATATCTCATTTAATCGTTCGAGGCGTTTATTTTTCATCTGTCCTTAGTCGAAATTTTCCGTGTCAGAGAAAATGGAATTGGTGGTCAAATATGTGTTTATCTCTTCCGTCTCTCGTTACTATAGGTTTATGCGGATTTTGGTTTTGTATGCGAGGGTTGATTTCTGCGTTCAGGTGACATAATTTTCGCGTGCACCTTGACTAGCCGAGTTATTTCACTACTATCTTATGCTTGTATGTATGAAATTGTATGCTAGTCGCATTGGTTTTTTTACGTTATTTCGTTTACTTATTTTATCACCAAATTCATTTATTTGTCAAAGGAGCTGTAAAACTTGACCTTTTTGTTACGATTTTCGTTATATTTACCAATTATTGGCCAATAATACATAAAGACCTGAAATGTCCTAAAATAACATAATTTTTACTAAAACTTGCACAGTTGCACGTAGTGTATAGCTGGACACATATTCCTTCCCCCCTTCACTTATTATGTAAGGCTGGTGAGTTGGCCTTATAGAATGCAAGAGAAAATAACTTTTAGCCAATGAAAGTTATCATAGTATAAATGTATGTTGTATGCAAAATATATATGTAATCGATGATTTCTGTCTGATATTTAATATACATACAGATGTACTATCTACGGTAAACTCTTATTGGCACATGTTGGTCATCTTCTTCACCGCTAAAATTGCGTCCATAGCTCTTGATAGTCACAACAAGGCGCTCCAATTTACGTAATTTGCACTTAAATAAACTTTTTCTTATTGAATTTGTTACTATTAATAAATGCCTGTCAATGATGTATTGGTTTTGAAAGTGACACATAATAATTAAGTGTATGAGATTTAAAACATAATTAAATCACGTCGATACAGAAAAATGTAGAAATAAGAAATAAACATAACAGAAATGTACTCATAACATAATATAATGTATAGAAATTTAATACTCATAGGTTCAAGATAATTTTAATTGATATAGCATAAGCACGTGTACAATAATTATAAGGCGTATAATATAGTTATTGTAAAATATGTAAATGATTGTACTTGGAAATAATAAATAATAAAAATTGTAACTTACCATGATTGTGTGATTTTGAGCAATTTATTCTACACGTGCAACAACCTGATATTTTTTTTTAAATGGCATAAAAAAGATTTTCTACAATACTCTCCTTGTGTATATTTTTACTGGTATTTTCAGTACTATTGTTATTACTATACTTGACTTTTTTATGATTTAAGTACAATTATTTTAGAGGTTACAATTTACTTTCTGTTGAATAACTTTTTTTTGCATAGAAACAACTTTTTCGTGTATCTTTCTAACAATTATTTTATGATGTTTCTAGGCCATATGTACCAGCGATTTTTTTTTTAATCTCTGATTCATAGCAGAAATGCCCTTCAATATAATTTTTGCATACTCCTTGATTTTTATAGAAAAAATTTGCAAATATTGAAAAAAATGTTTTTTACTAATTTCATCTATCTACTACTCACTTGTTGTCAGTTATTTTTAACTTACCAGGTCCTTAAATCAAATCTCTGAACAGGGAAACCAAGGATATTACAGCCGCAAAAATATAAATCAACTGTAATGAATACTTTTTGTATGAAAAATTTTGAAAAAAATGTTATTTTAGTTCTTAAAAAAATAAATTATTTGAGCTAATTTCAAAGAAAACTGTACTTATCAAGTTTTTTTCAACCACGTACTTTAAAAAACAACTTACTATATTTAAAAAAAATTCTTTTTTAACTAATTTTATCTGCTCAACGTTTAGCAACTTATTATTTTCTTGTAAGGTCTTGGATTTTACTTTAAAGCTATTATTTTAAGATTAAAAAAGATTTACAATAGTACACTATGTCAGAAAAATGATAAAAATTATCTATATTACGAAAAAATTACTTCGTATGCATCGCTAAATTTATTATTGCAATATTATTTAAAATTGAAAAACTTGGACGAGCCTTTTTCTCATAACTTTCCATGTAATCGTTTGATTCGAACTTTTAAGAGATTACTTCACTTGTGAACCTATATTTTTTTAACGAAACGATTTCCATTGCATTTAGGTGATGAATGATTTTTTTATATCACGAGAACTGATGAAGATTTGAATGTTTGCATAACCATACAAATTATCTATTTCAATAAGTATACTAGTCTAAGTAAAGTCAATGAGGAGGTTGATGTATACTGTGAGTGAGTTGGAAGAGACGGACTTTAGATTGCCTTGAGTGTTAAGATGCAGTGGTGTTTTGGGCAATAAAAGTGTGAACAGGTATTCAAGGTTCTTGAGTCTTACTCTTCGAAAAAGAACAAATCGGTCACAGACGTTACACAATCCACGTAGTGGCCTCTTTTGTATGCGCCACGACGAGAGGCTTTTTATCTTTGAAGCAAAAATAAATCAGGAACACTTGTACAATAAATCAATGCTCTCCAGTTTGAATTTTCAAAGTACTATATTGTTTCGAAACAGCAATTACATTAGCAATTATCACAATCTTTTTCGATATTAACATTGAACTTCAATTGCCATGTTAGTTATTTTTGTGAGACAACTAGAACAATTCGGTTAGTTTAGAGGATTAACGATATGACCAGAAAACAGTGTTGAATCTTTGTGCATAATCTTGAAAATAAATGGTCAGTCAATAATAAACTGCATAGGTGACAGGAAACCCGACCTACGAACTTCCATCCTCGCTGAAACGAAAAATTCAAACGACAGAGTGTTCCATATACAGTAGTAAAAATAACAAATAATAAGTTCTGAAATAATGATTATCTAAGTATTTTTGAAGATCTTAACGTTTAAACTGCCTTAATGACCATATTTTAAGGAATGAAAGGTGAGTTTAAATTAAACCATACATGGATTGATACTGAATATTAATTTTACAAAAATAAATTTTCGAAATTTTTATAGAATGCAACTAATTTATTTTGATCTAATACTGAATCATGTTTAAAAAAGTAAATGATTTCTTTTTTTTATAAAAACAATACATGAAATTTTATGAGTACCCTTCATACTATGCTTGTTTTTATAGTTTCAAACACAGATAATAAACTATAAGAAGTTTAGGGTATCTTATACGTGTAACTTAAGTTTAGAAGTAATTGAATTCCAAAAAAATGGAAAATGTTAAAAATCAGATGTTGTATTGATAAGATGTAATCTGATTTTTCACTTTTTGCCTTGAATTCTCAGTCAATTTTGCCAAATGTGGGCTTGATTTGTTCTTTGATGTGTCAAGAATGTGCGTCTACTCTTATTATTTCGATAAAATAGCTAGCTGCTCAATAAATAATGTTATAAAGCTATGCAATTTGAGTAACCTTACCGATAAGGTAGAAAATTTTAACTATCTCTGTTTTTCATTTTTCACATATGCTTTTTCTTCACCACGCAATGCTCCTCGAGGAGGGTTGAGGCGACCTTCTTGCAGCAAAAATTGCCTAATTTTTCCCCTACTCCCCTCTGAGTAATGGGGGAGGCCTCCCATCCCTCTTTCCCTTCCTTCTCCAAAGTGCTAAGTGTCCATATTGGTGCCCTTATTAAAGGAGCCGGACGTAGAGCACTATAATTTAAAAAAAAAAGGTACATACATTCTACTGAGTTTTTTTTCAAAATGTGCCAATGATATCAATTTTTTTTTTGTAGTTATACTTTTGTAGGTGCGTTAACACGAGAGTACATTAACAATTTCAAAAGTTTCACCATAAAAAAATTTGTAACGAAAGTGAATTGTTCATTTTTATTCTTTAAAAAAAAACCTTTTTACGAGATCTTTTGCCTCGGTAATTGTTCATTTATAAAGTATTACAATATTTATTAAAACCATACCCAATTATCAGATATCCACATCCCAACAATAATGGCACTGCCTTCGATACGTCGCAGTGGGTTATTTAAAATATGGCTTCATACAATATTTTTCAATACTAATGAATAAAAATGTATAAATTAGTTTCGTACTAAATAAGCTTTGCACAAAAATCTCTACACTTACAAAATATTGTACATGAATATGCTAGGTACTATATGATTTAATGTTATTCTCAAAAAAAAATATTTTTCCGTGTATTAACACGATAAAGAATTACAAAGTGCTCGATCGTGTCGGAAATGAAGGTGTGTAGAGTTCAATCAAGTCAAAAAAACTTGTGTAGAAAACATTTGTGGCATAAAACTTATGTAAAATAAATATAAATATCTGTAATTTTTAAGTAGTATTTGTCAATAAACGGGTGTGGTAATAACGTCTTTTTTCCATAATGCGCGTACGAAGACTTACGAAATCGTTGATGACTCAATTGATGTGATTTTTTTTACTATGGAAAGCTAGTACATCAAGTATAAAGTTTATTATGTAAATATTTATGTACGCTATAGTAGCTGAGGTAAATTTTGTACTAAAATAAATAAATATCGTTTTCGTGTTATTTTCAAATACTTTTATTTATATAAAGTATTTCAGTCTTTCCAAAATCTATTGCAGAATGTGCCACATACATGAGATAACACAGTTTTATGAAATTATAGAACCTTAAGATCTTCTTTCAATGTGGCAGATACGTAGAAAACTTCTGTTTTACATTAAAAAAAAAATAATAATATCAGTGTTAATAACCATAGTCAATAAAAATTTTCGTTACCATGAAGAAGAACATCTAACTAAAAACGTGAATTTTGGATAATATTCTGTTGTATATGTGATTTATTATGAAATATTTTTATGATTAAGTGAAAAACTTTTATTAGTTTAAGGGATTGGAGACGTGACCAGAAAAAAGTGTTGAGTTTCTATACATAATCTTAAAAAAGAAAGGTCGGTCAGCAACAAACTCAATAGGCCATGATTGTAGTCTAGGTAAAGTTCTGATAGCCTTCAATTTGATTCCTAAAATAAACATTCCAATAACATTAGCGTTAAATCAAATGATTTTTTGTAATAATCATCGTTAGAGTGTTTTTGATAATCTTAAGCTTTACAATGTTCTAGTGCACGAATTTTGAAAAATTAAAGGCAAATTTTTATTGTGCTAACAAAAGTAGATGTATTAGATTGATCAATCCTTTAAACTAACTACACAAAAATAAATTTTGCATGTTTCTGATTGTATTTTTCTTTCAACTAAACTATGTCTTTACATGACAGATTTTTCTTCTTTTCCGACAAAAAATACATAAAATTTTTCACAAAAACTGAAAAACGGCTAATGATAGAAATAAAAAATTTAAACAAGAAACTGTTAGGATTCCAAGATTTTTTCTCTATACAACTTGGTAAGAATGAATTAGTAATGTAGAAATAACAGAGCAAGAATGAAAAATAGCTGAAGGCAGTAAATATCTCATAATAAAGCTCAAGAGATAGATAAAAAAGGAAAGAATTTTTGTTTCAGTCAAGAATAAAATTATTTTAAAAAAAAGCTAAAAAGATAAAGATTCACGTGGTAAAAAAATCTTAAAAAGAATAATTTATAAATGCCATTATTAAGGAAAACAGTTTTTACCTTCAGAATCCGAGAAAACAGTACGTACACAGCTTCTATCACATGGGAGTTTAATAGCTTCACTACGTTCTTCATAAACTTCGAAAAAAGCTTTTTGTATAACTTGGGAAATACGAACATTTTCATCACATATACCCTTAAAATTTGCTCGTTCCGTAAACACGTCGCTCATTCCTGACTATAGAACAAATTAAACTTACTGCTAAAGTTCATATTCAAATTTTATATAAAAATATCAATAAAGTCATGATACCATTAAATGATGATTTAGATTTAGCGTTGATTCGACTTTGAATTTTGGTAACAAAACCATTACTTTTTTATTCCTTGTAAAACTCCAAAAGTCAAGTTTGACTTTCTCGAGATTTTTCTCAAGCTCCACCAAGCCATTAATTTTGTTGGGTACTACGATTACCATGTGAAAGTCTTGATTCTTGAATGGAAGAGCAAATAAAAATATTTAGATTGCTCTGTACAAAAGATTACATTTTAAAAAATTAAGTACAAATACCTACCACATATGGGAGGGCAACTACTCTAGCATTAACTTCTTCTAATTCTCGATAAAAAAAGTGATCACATATGTACATCATGGGAACTTGGATGGCGGTGTGTTTGTCAATATTAAATAATTTCTGTTCTGTTAGTACTGAATTAAATTTGCATAAAAACTCCGCTTTAAAATACGCTACACTCAACATAATCATGTCCGCAGTGTCTAGCCCATCTAAAAAATATTATAGGGAAGATTTTGTAGGTGTCAGACTTATAGATTAAAAAAAAAGTTGCGGCAATGCCAACCTAAGTGTACGATGTCTTTAATTTTTCCACTTGTTTTTTTGACGCACCAATCGTGCATTACTTTGGCAGATTTAACACTCTTTTTAAAATCCACTATTTTACATGTAGATCGAAAATACTTGCGAGTATATTTTTTAAAATTATTTTTGATTTTAAAACTGTCAGCAAGATACATTTTGCAAGCAATTTTGAGATCAACTTGTTTTGTATCCTGTTGAAACAAAATATGACTTATTTTTAATGACATTTATATAGAACAATACAATATTGGAAAGTTTACGACAATAGACACAATAAAACGGTGAAATCAGTGTAAAAAGTGCAAAAATATATGTATATACATCTTGAAGAAGTGCAGTACTTAATTTAATGTAATATTTCTTAATAAACACATTATGAAGTATTAATTTTCAAATCGAATTCAATGATGATGCTTGATGTCACTAAATGAATAAGCTTTATAAACCGACCGACGAATTATTATTCTTGTCATTCCCAAATGAGTTTTTAATAACTTATAAGTCATCAGTAATAATTGACTGAGGTCATATGTTACAAAAAGTAATACGTATCATTAAAAACTGCTGTTGAACTTTTTTATAAGTATTGAATTATTTTTCCTTCATCATAAAAAAAATTTATCTTTATAATTTACGAATTATCCACCGTAAAATTATTATTGTTACTATTATTGTTATTATTATTATTACTATTATTGTTATCATTATCATTATTATTGAAAAAAATATCTTAACTTGCAGCTTTCGCAAAATAAAGAATTATTTCAGTGATTTATGAAAATAAATTTATAAAAATGTCAAAATATAATAAAAATTTACAAGTATAAAAGCGACTTAACGCTGTTTGGTTTTATTTAAAGATTGTAAATAATACAGCATTCATATTAGAGCACTGTTTTAAAACTTATACACGGTTTCTCCTTGTCATGTTCAAATATTGTTGGTACTAAGAAGATGTAAGTCCAAACTTTTATCTCAACCAGTAACTTACTTTAAGCCAATCAATGTAGCTCTGAAATCCCAGACAAGCGTGGGAGTCATCCTCAGGCAGGTGGAGAGTCTCGCGCATTTGCTGAGCGGAGGATCCATCGGCACCGTATGCAGCCATTGCCAAAACCATGTATGCACTCAAGCCCGAGCTCATGAAATTCCCAGAGTATACATTGGCTATGCTCTACATCAACAAGTATTCACAGATAATACAACTGTATATAGCTTTTTTCAGTTTGTTAATGATATTAGTTTGTTAATGCGACTGTATTTTTACCGATTCATTACGGTACAAATGACTGCAATCAGTACGAAGTCCTATAATATGAATACTGACCAAAGCAATTTTTTGTCTTTAAGACACCATAAGATGCCTTTTAAACGTGAATTGGTTTGTCCAGGTGTCCCATAAACCCCCTAGTTTCTCCGGCTATCAACTTTGACATGTCCTCTAAAATGAACTATTTTCAAAAGGTAAGACAATTAATGTAAAGTGATGCAATGGACGATGAGAATAAACCATATTATTGTTGTTAGATCATGGGTTAAATGTAGCATCTGATTCGTATTTTTTTGTAGATGCAGAATTGTTGGGGTGAAAATTTTCAAAAAAAAGCCCGAAATTGTAAAATATACTTCTTTTCTTTTTTATCTAATCGTATGAAATAAAGTTATAAACTTTAATATATAAACATTACTATCGAAATGCGATTGACTGAGAACCTTATGTAAATCGGTGGTGAATTTCTCAGCTCGCTTGGTCAAACTTTCGATGGCTTTCTTTTCTTTCTCTCTCATCTTGCTCAGCGGACGATTTTCTTCTTCCCCTGAGAACGTGTCGTTCACGGCAGCGATTTCCCCGAACAACTGACTGACATATCAACGCCAGCAACCAACCGCGCCTATGCCTACATAGGCACTAGACCCGTTAAGGAGGTTCGGTAGTGTTAGCGGGGGAAAATCTCAGAGAGGCAAGAGAAGGGAGAGCGTCTGGCAACGTTGTGAATTTTTTCGGCTGCTGGCACGTCGTCTACTGTTGTTGTCGTCTACTGCTGTTGTCGTCGTCTACTGATGACAGTGTACTTATTTCTTCGGTTGAATTTTTTATAATTAAATTTTCAATTACAAAAGGAGTTTTTACTATTCATTACATTTCAAAGCGCGCTCCAAAAGCAGCGTTGCCAAGTCGTCTGCTGCGAGCACATTTTTGCTGTTTTTTAATAGAAATTTGTGGTAGGGCTCTCTCAAACTTTGACAAAATATTATTTTGACAATATTCTTTCATTTAAAAAAAAAAAAAGCAAGTTCATTTAGCCGTTTTTTTTTTTTGTGAAATTTAAGTGATTTCTCCATAAGCCTACATGTTAAAATATTGTTTTTTCAGGTCAATATATCTTGAAAACGGTGTGGTTAAACCCTTCAAAAATTTAGCTGTAATTTGATACTATTATCCCAAACGACATATCGAAATTTCAAAAATTTTCATCATAAAAAATTATCACTACCGAACCTCCTTAAGTGTGCGCATCGATGTAATAGTGCAAAGAGATGAAAATTTTTAGAAATAGCATTAGATTTTTTATTTCACAACGCGAGATTTGGTAGCTGTTAATTTTCATAGTTTACAAATAAATCTGTTTTGTTAAAACACCAAATTTGAAAAATTCTTAAACCTCAAATTTTTTTTTTTGTGCAAGCTTTTTGAAATAATGAGGTTCAACTTAATGTATAATCAATTATTTAAATAGGGAGCCATAAGTACGAAGAAAAATTGATTTGTTTCTAAAACACATCGGTGCATCAAACATATAATATCAATCGTATAAAAAATTTTTTTTTTTCGATGAGGGGAGGAAAAAAAAACCTGTAGAAGGCACCCTCGGTTGAGAAACCAAATGTAGCGTTGGATTCCTTCGTGCTCCTACTGACTAAAACTAATCTCCCCACATAGGGACAATCCGTCATTTTAATATGATATAGTTTAATGAAATTATCAAAAAAAAACTCACTAAGAAGGAATTTTATTTGAGAGTAGAAACTTACATCGGATAGGGTTACGATAGTTGTACACAGACAGTATCTTAGTTCGTTTTTCGAGAGATTTCTGGTGTGTAGCAAAATTTTTTTCGGTGTGTGGAAAAACCTTTTCCGCGCACAGTGAAGGGAAATATCTTTGCCACACACCTTTTTCGCACACTGTGCGGAAAATATTTGCCACACACTTTATCGACACACTATGCGGGAAAATTGATTTTCCACAATAAAAATAGTGTGGAAAACACCTATTTTCCGCACACTGTTGCGACATAGTAGTTTTCCTACGAGTTTGAAAAGTCTCTGTTTACGAACCGAGAGGTTTGCGGCCCGAGCCGAAGGCGAGGTCCGTAACGAGGTTCGTAAAGGAGACTTTTAGAACGAGTATCAGAAAACTGCTTTTTTGCCCGAGGAAGTACCAGCCTTCCAAAACCACCCGAGGGCGAAAAAATATGATTTGTTTAGTGTTACATATCGATAAATCCTTTTCACCAATATTCTTATTTACAAGTCTGGGCTTTAAGTAAAGGTAAAGCAAGTTATAATTTAGTTTCAATCAAAACAATAAGCAGCTTATTAATTTGAGCATCAATTTCGACTACCGAGTAGTAGGGAACGTACAATGATGACGAAGGTGTCAGTTTTATTTCCAGATCGTTTTTTCTGTAATAATTAATAGTTAAATTAGTTTCCGGTCATTAAATTTTAATTAAGAATTCACTTAATCTATGCTTCAAACTGTCAGACGGCGTTATATTGACAATCCCGAGAATATATCGATGACATGTGGGTATTGACGATAGGTAAAATTATATTATTTTGGAAAAACAAAAATTAAGACTCGTTACTAATCATGCTCTTATTGCACGTGGTTGAGAACAGATAGTATTTATAAAGCATATTAATTGGTAAGAATAAATTTATATGCTAAATATTACTCTTGAATCACTAATTATCATTCAGATGGAGAACCCAGAGTTGTGGTTATCCACCAGCACCATATGCAGCTGTGTCCAGAACCGTATGTGCGGTCAAGCCCGAGCTTGCAAGGATTTCTAAATTCTTATGGGCTAGGCTCTAAATTTTATTAACAAGTACCCACAAACAACAAAAATTGTATCCCTATTTTGGCTCCATTTGGACGCCTTGGTTAAAATTGCCTTCAAAAAACGTGTAGGTGTTATATGGGTTCAGATAATAGGAAAACTCACAATTGATGTGCATTTTATCTTCTCATGAGGTTTTTATAACCAGGAACCAATTTTATCGTGTTGATAATAACATGTGTAGAAATGCACTGCAAATCAATTTGACAACCATGCATTAAAATACTGAGAGTGAAATTGGTTTCTGACTATTAACGTTTAATTACGCTGTAATTGTTTTAAATCTTTCCTGACATACTTTATTTAGGCTTAAACTGACAGCCTGTCATTTATTTTCTTCACATTTATTTAACGTTAGAATTGATTAAAATGAACTATAATAACTTAAAATGTTACTAAATGAATTTTAAAACAATAATTCATTCGTAGGTAAGTTTTTTTTCAACACTTTTGCATTTTTCAAAAACTTTTGTTCATATAAACGACCAAATTGAGGTTTAGTCTCATAAGCTTATATGTTAATCACATAATTTTCATTTGTAAAATTCTTTTAAAAGTGACTTGAGAAAAAAATATTTAAAAAATTTATGGACGTTCAAAACATTTTAGACTATCAAGAAAAATATATACCATTGTGATTTCTACATTTTATTATTACTCTCGAACTCATCTTAACCCAAGTTTCTAAATTTACCAGCAGCAATGGAAGCATTAATTAATAAAACTATCGTTATCTCGGATGAAAGATTTACAATACTATTTTTTGTATGATCAGATAAATTGTTAATCAAATGGTTATTCGCATTTGAAAACTCAGTTCATAGGGTCGTTGAGTTTTGATTTTTGAATTTAGCGCCGAGGTTAACGTTTTGAGCTGCAAGTCGTGCCGAAAGCCGAGAACCCGCGTGTCGCCATACTGATGTCAGTCTCCCTCTTTTGGACCGTAGGTACTGTATCGTGCTCGCTGCGGCATCCGATCGGCGCTTCCAACAGTGTGAGTATACTTATATCAGTCAGCAGCCGACGTAAACCTCGTGAGCTGTATACCAAGCTGTGCATGGGGACGGCTAAAATATACATGTCTTGCATCCTTTGGAGTCCAGCTATGTAGTCATTAACTAACAGTGCAGGATATCGCTTCGACAGGTTCAGCCGCAGGAGTTCAGGTAGGCGTTTCTTTGTTATCCTCGTATTTACCTTATCACTTAACCCAAACGATTTCCTGGTGCTTCACTCTCCCACTTTGATACCGGTTTTGAACAACGCCACTAGCGCTATTAGGTAAAAGAGCGGGTTATTTGCAAAACCGGAAAAGGAGGCTTAGCACGCACATTTACAATATGAGTCACGCAATTTTATGAATACGAGAGTTACTGTTTCAATGTAGTAACTTCAGTTGGCACAAATAAACTCAGGTTTAAGTGTTAAGCACGAAAATCCTTAAGTAGTTTTATTTTCAGTTACGAAACTTGTATATTCCAAGAACAAAAAAAAAAAAAGTACTTAAATATGTCTGTTAAAATGAATGTCACGGACATGTGTAAATGTATACACTGTTATGGACTATAGCCATTTGACTAATTTGAAATAAAAAATAAAATTATGTTAAATGAAAATCATACAATGTAATACGTTTCATGACAAATGTAATAAAATTTAGTGTAATTTTATTTTTCATCACATTGTGTAAGTTTTATAGAGGGTAAACATTTTTTAATACATTAATTATTATTTCATGATTATTTTTATTTTTATAAAAGTGATAGTGCTATTATTGTTGTAATTATTACTATTATTTTTGTTGTTGTTACTATTATTAATCCGAACGATAAAATCAGATATGTTTTCTAAAGTTCAGAATCAAAGTAAAGTACTCTGGCAGAAATCTCTCTCTCTCTTTCTCTACGCCTGTGTGTAAGTGTATGTATGTGTGTAATCAGTCACATCTAAGGATTCCCTTGACCAATTTTAATAAACCTTGTCCAATTCTTTTGATTTTTGTACATCTATCATCATTGTGAAATAAAATTGTAATTTTATCAATTGATTTTTATTTATATTTTAAGAATTAAAAAAAGTAAATTATTCGAAAACTTCATATATTGAAATTGCTTTTTTCTCAGTTTTAGGATATTTTGTATCAAACAGTTTTGAAATTTGTTGAATTTTTCAGTACATATGTATGTTCCAAAAATTTTTTGTTATGTAAATCACAAAGTTGAGGTTTCATCCCATAAGAGCCTATGTTAATCACGTAATTTTCATTTGTATAATTCTTATAAAATTGACCTATAAAACATATTTTAAAAATTTATGGAAGTTCAATATATTTTAGATTATCAAGAAAAATCAATGTTATCGGGATCTGTGCATTTTATTATTACTCCCNCAGTAGGTTGTATATCGCGTAAGCTTGCATTTCCTATCTAACCCGTCTTAAAACTACGATTTTGTAAGCATGATTTCTTACAATTTTCATCGTCAACCTTAATTTTTTTTTATACGAATAGAAAGATGGTAATTCAAAGAATATAATTCAATTTTATTAACCTCGGTTGGGTTATTTATAATTTTAACATTGAGGACACTGGAGCCACCTTAATGACCCTTAGCTATATGCACTCTTGAAGTCCCGGTAAAATTCCTGAAGTCTCTTTGAAAGACTTAGAATGACTTACAGACTTTGTTAATGACTTTAAACTATATTTATGTACTCGTAAAGTCCCGGTAAAAAGTCTGAAGTCTTTTTGAGATATCTAAAGCGTTTGAAAGTTTTAGAATGTTTTATGAAGTATTTTTCAATGACTTTAAGCTACATGCACTTTTAAAGTTCCAGTAAAAAGTCTGAAATCTTTTTGAGACATCCGAAGTCTTTGAAAGACTTAAAATGACTTATGAAATGTTTTGTAATGACTTCAAGAGTGCGCAGCCTCTCGATAGTGCACGCATACTGTGCTGCATGATGTCCATCCTTGTAACACCAATAGTGTAAGAGATCCACGGTTTTAGTGAAAACTCACAGATACTGTAGAAAAAAAAGTATTTTCATATATAATCAACCTAAACTTTTAAATATCCGTCTTCAGGAACAGCTAAATTTTTTTTGGATTTTGGAAAACAATTGTTTTTTTTTTTAAATAGCACAAAAAGTATAGACCGTACAAGTTATGTATGTAGCTTCTGAAACTTATACTTAGCTTTTTAGGATTTTTATGCCTAGTATTTTGTAGAATCTGCATATATTAATTAACAACACTCATTGTAAAAGCAGTACCAAATCAACCTTTTCGCCCATTTTCATCTACTTAAACACACCCCACCTCCCATTGCTACTTTATTACAATTAAAATATAGTATTATTCAAATTTAAGTATCTTTCATTTAACTTTTCAGCCAATACGACATTTGTTTCCAACAAAAATCCAGTTTATCCCGTTAATCGGGTTTTACCCGTCTTTCGAACTACACAATCATCAAAGCCAGAATAGCCTACCCGTGAATTGACGAGGAAAAATTTTTCAATGAAGATTAAAAAACTCAACGAGTGCCGATTTTGTAACAAAGTTTTTGTTCGCCTAAGCAAGCTCACAATCCACGAGCGAAAACACACCGGCGAGCGTCCCTATGCATGCACCGAAAATAATTGTGGAAAAACGTTTGCCGACGAAAGTAACCTCAAAAAGCACAGGTACTCGCACGTTACCGAGTTTCGTTACAAATGCAACGAATGTGAGCAAAGTTTTACCTTGCTTCGTTACCTCAAAGTACACGTGCGCGTGCACACTGGCGAGCGACCCTTTCAGTGCACTGAACCCGGATGTGGAAAAGCTTTTGCCCAACGAGGTAACCTCGCCACACACATGAACACGCACACCGGCGAGCGGCCCTTCGAGTGCAATGAAAATGGCTGCGGGAAAAAGTTCGCCGACAAAAGTAACCTCAAAAGGCACATGTACTCGCACTTTGCCCAATTTCGTTTCAAGTGCAACGAATGCGGCCAAGATTTTGCCCAAAAGGACAAACTTATTCTTCACATGCGTGTACACACCGGCGAGCGGCCCTACAAGTGCAAAGAACCCACGTGTGAAAAAGCTTTTGCTTCGTATAGTGCACTACACATTCACATGCGCGTACACACTGGCGAGCGGCCCTACAAGTGTCCCGAGCCCGGCTGCGAAAAAGCCTTCACTCAACAGAACAATCTCTCGATGCACGTGCGCACCCACACCGGTAAACGTCCCTACAAGTGCAAGGAACCCGGGTGTGGGCTAGCTTTCGCTGTCCGGTGCAATTTGAAAGCTCACACACGCACGCACACCGGCGTGCGCCCTTACAGGTGCGACGAGCCCGGGTGTGCAAGGGCTTTTGGTCGCAAGCATGATCTGGTGAACCACGTGCGGACGCACACTGGCGAGCGGCCCTTCAAGTGCGATGAGCCCGGGTGTGGAAAAACATTTAGTCAAAAAACCAATCTGTCGATGCACGTGCGGGTCCACACGGGCGAGCGGCCCTACAAGTGCAGTGAGCCCGGGTGTGGGAAAACTTTTGCTCTACGGAGTACATTGAAGACACACGTTGGCACGCACACTGGCAAGCGACCCTACAAGTGCACCGAGCCGGGGTGTGGAAAATCTTTCGCTCAGCAAAACAAACTCTCGATTCACTCGCGCACGCATACTGGAAATCGGCCCTACAAGTGCGTCGAGCCCGGGTGTGGGAGAGCTTTTACCATTAAATCCAATCTGAAGAGTCACATTGGCACGCACATGGGCCTGCGACCCTACAAGTGTAATGTGCCCGGGTGTGAGAAAGCTTTTACGCGGCAACATTATCTCTCGATTCATGTACGGGCGCACAATGGCGAGCGTCCCTACAAGTGCGGCGAACCCGGGTGTGGAAAAGCTTTTTCTCAGCGAAACAAGCTCGTAACGCACATACGCACGCACTCTGGCAGGCGTTCCTTTTAGTGTCAAAACCCTGGAAACTTTTGCCTTGAGTGGTGATCTACGAAAACCCACGTTTGCACTCGTTAACGAGTCTCCCTTTAAGTACAATGATCGTAGATAAGTATATGAACACGCGTCGACTGAATAACTTAATCATATGTTACTCATTTGCACTTAATATCAATAGATACATGACTTGAATTTCATAAAGAAAATTTTGTGAAGGAAAAAAGTAGTAACAATTGACTCTTTGATTTTTTTAAAGGCACTATCAATTACTACTCGTCCGATGTAACATTTGTTAAATTTCAATGTTATATGCATCAATGTATCTCTGCCATTGACTCATTTGTGTTCGCAACATCTGATTTTTTTTTTTTTTTTTTTTTTGGAGAAATATTTTAGAATTTATTGTGCACAAAATATCAGTTCAACGTATTTGTCACTTTATAACTGTATCACAAAGGCTATTATAACTTATAATTTATGATTTTTCTCAAATGAGATTTGAAAGTTATATTAATAAATACTTAATAGCACTACCACCCGAGTTATAAATTAATGTTATACTTCATAAAAGAAATTTTGTATGGCAACGCATGACCTCGTGTATTTTTTCAAGTTTTTGGAAATTTATAGTCTTATTTCTACGTCACTGTCAACGGTATAGTTTAATAATTATTTGAACATGTGACCTTCATTACACACAGTTATTACTATTTTTTCATTTTCTTAAATGCGATATAAAATATTGTACGTATTACTTTCAGTGGTTATAAACATTGTATTATCATAGTAAACATGTATAATGTAAACTTAGAAAACATACTTACATTTTATTTACTCATTTAGTTTCGATCACTATTACAGCAAATATTTGTTATCAAAGTGTAGTTAAGGTAGTTGTAATAGCATAATTATGTGGATATGAGAAAAAAGAAAAAAAATTGAAAAGGAAGTCCAAAAATTAAGAAAATTGAGAGAACTAAGAAACCTTACAGTAATCACGAAAATTAAATATAAAATAAAAATTGTCTACAGGGGTTAACACAATTTTGTTTAGTACGTGGTAATAATATTAATTTGAGTATATAAATATTACAATTAATTATTTAAAAAAAAAACAGGAAAAAATACAAGATAAAAAAAAAAAGACAAAACATGCATACATTATGTGCATAAATATTTATCTTTCTTTCTCATTATGTACATATATTGGAATTTTCCTAAAATAAAACCATTGCACATATCAATACATCTTTATTTAACCATAACAACCTTCCACATCAATAAAATATTTTAAGGTAAGTAACTATAAGAAATAAGATGAATGGAGTTCCTGTTGACTTCCGATTCCATAGAAAAAATCTTGATGCTTTATAAATTGACTTTTAAATAATAATTTAAATATCACTCGTGGGGTAAACTTAATCAATCGGTTTGAAGGTTTTATAAAAAAAATAAAATTTAAGTCTATATCAGCCGACGAATGTGAGCAAAGTTTTACCTTGCTTCGTTACCTCAAAGTACACGTGCGCGTGCACACTGGCGAGCGGCCCTTCCAGTGCGCTGAACCCGGATGTGGAAAAACATTTAGAGAGCCTATGTTAATCACGTAATTTTCATTTGTATAATTCTTATAAAATTGACCTATAAAACATATTTTAAAAATTTATGGAAGTTCAATATATTTTAGATTATCAAGAAAAATCAATGTTATCGGGATCTGTGCATTTTATTATTACTCCCAAACCTCCTTTGTGCTAATTTTTTTTTTTATTTTGATTTTGACAATTTCTTAAAAATAAATTTTCTCTCTAACACTGATTGTTAGAAACTGCTTTTCCTCACGGTTTTATGATATTTCATGTTGAAAAATTTAAAAAATAGTTGAATTTTAAATGAAAAGTAATAGTAAGATAAGAATACGCAACAGTATTTGTGAGTGCATAAATGCGTGCGGATACAATAATTGATCATGTCTGAGAATTTCCTTAACCGATTTTAATATACCTTTGCCTAGTATTTTTTTTACAAAGATACCTGTTATTGCTAAAAAAAAAATTAAGATTTCATCGATCGGTTTTCTGTTTCTCGTCCTTGGTACCTTGGTAGGTCTTCTCCATGAGCGTCATAATAAAAGCACTTGTAAAGCCTCCTGAACCAGTTTGTAGAATCTCTCACCGTACCGTCCTCGTAGCGTTACGTGAAACCAAATCCTTCGCAACATTCTTAGTACACAGCATAAGCGATGCCTTGAAAATAAACGAGTATTGTCTTGAGCCAACTTAATTTTGTAAACGTAAAAAATGTAAGGCTCCGCGTAAATAATAAAGTTATGACCATATGCAAAAAAAATAAAATAAAATAATTTGAAAAAATTTTTTTTAATTAAAAAAAAATTAGCTCACAGTGAACACCAAAAGCTGGAGTTTTTAAGATAGTATACCTTGTACTTGCTATAATAGTGCGTATACATAAACAGTGCTCGAAGCGCTGTGCACTCTGAAATCTTTTGGGGACTTCTGAAGTCTTTGAAAGACTTAAGGAGGCTCCATCGCCTACTGCGGTAGTCAATTCAGTGACGATCGATGCGATGTCACTAGACGAAAGCTTTCTTTTATACTAATAGTATGTTGGTAATGAAGTTTGTTTTATTTTCAACTGAATCTATCTGCTATTAAACATAGTTTACTACATATTTATACAGTCAGCTGTCGAATAATTTAATATTAATGATTGCCATAATTTACTACGTTATTACCCAACAAATGAAAATTGAAAAATCATTATAAAAGTTTTCATGTTATTTTACAAATTCAAATTTTTTTTATTGTGCACGCTCCCTAGACCAATATGGCCGGCAGTGTTTGTCACTGCACTCACCGAACGTAATTACAGACCAAAATAGTATTTTAGCTATTTTATCAATTTATTCATCGCCAACATATTTTATAAAGTCACCCGGTTTCTTAAAGATGAGACTGTCAGAATTATGGTAAGTATATTTTTTTGCTTGTACATCCCATTTTAGTAGTTTAATTGATAGTCAAAAGTTTGAGTCAGGCCTTCGGCCACAAGAAACTGTGTTAGGCGAGTTCGAAAAGTGTTAACTTTGAATTGAATTTTCTCCGGATTTTGTTCGCCAACCCATAAAAATAAAGACACCATTGGATTCAGCGCGATCTCAACTTTAATAATATATCTGTAAAAGTTCTTGTACAATCCGTGATGGAGCCTCCTTAAAATGACTCATAAAGCCTTTTTTAAGGTGGCTCCAGCGCCTAGTGCCGTATCAAAATGGGGAGACTAAAAATTAATCATTATTTTCTTTAAAATATGGTATAAAATTATCGTAGAGACTGTTGTAAGCCATATTCTACATTTTATCTGTTACTTTAGTGAGTTAATATAAAAAATCAAAAAAGTTTTATGGTGCCCTAATTGATGAACTGTTACGGTACGCTCCTAAGTTTAAGAGTAGTTATACCTATATATATATATACTCTGCAGAATGCAGACAGCTGAGAGCTGACTTGCACTCGCAACTGTATACTTAGTCTCCGACTATTTAAAGATTTTGTTCGACAACAAGACACTTTTCTCATGTCATCGAAAACTGCGTAATAATATATACATGATAGTATGTTTTTTACACCTTACGGGTTATTTATATAAGTGCAGAAGTAGGTTGTATATCGCGTAAGCTTGCATTTTCTATCCAACCCATCTTAAAACTACGATTTTGTAAGCATGATTTCTTACAATTTTCATCGTCAACCTTAATTTTTTTTTATACGAATAGAAAGATGGGAATTCAAAAAATATAATTCAATTTTATCACCCTCGGTTGGGTTATTTATAATTTTAACATTGAGGACACTGGAGCCACCTTAATGACCCTTAGCTATATGCACTCTTGAAGTCCCGGTAAAATTCCTGAAGTCTCTTTGAAAGACTTAGAATGACTTACAGACTTTGTTAATGACTTTAAACTATATTTATGTACTCGTAAAGTCCCGGTAAAAAGTCTGAAGTCTTTTTGAGATATCTAAAGCGTTTGAAAGTTTTAGAATGTTTTATGAAGTATTTTTCAATGACTTTAAGCTACATGCACTTTTAAAGTTCCAGTAAAAAGTCTGAAATCTTTTTGAGACATCCGAAGTCTTTGAAAGACTTAAAATGACTTATGAAATGTTTTGTAATGACTTCAAGAGTGCGCAGCCTCTCGATAGTGCACGCATACTGTGCTGCATGATGTCCATCCTTGTAACACCAATAGTGTAAGAGATCCACGGTTTTAGTGAAAACTCACAGATACTGTAGAAAAAAAAGTATTTTCATATATAATCAACCTAAACTTTTAAATATCCGTCTTCAGGAACAGCTAAATTTTTTTTGGATTTTGGAAAACAATTGTTTTTTTTTTTAAATAGCACAAAAAGTATAGACCGTACAAGTTATGTATGTAGCTTCTGAAACTTATACTTAGCTTTTTAGGATTTTTATGCCTAGTATTTTGTAGAATCTGCATATATTAATTAACAACACTCATTGTAAAAGCAGTACCAAATCAACCTTTTCGCCCATTTTCATCTACTTAAACACACCCCACCTCCCATTGCTACTTTATTACAATTAAAATATAGTATTATTCAAATTTAAGTATCTTTCATTTAACTTTTCAGCCAATACGACATTTGTTTCCAACAAAAATCCAGTTTATCCCGTTAATCGGGTTTTACCCGTCTTTCGAACTACACAATCATCAAAGCCAGAATAGCCTACCCGTGAATTGACGAGGAAAAATTTTTCAATGAAGATTAAAAAACTCAACGAGTGCCGATTTTGTAACAAAGTTTTTGTTCGCCTAAGCAAGCTCACAATCCACGAGCGAAAACACACCGGCGAGCGTCCCTATGCATGCACCGAAAATAATTGTGGAAAAACGTTTGCCGACGAAAGTAACCTCAAAAAGCACAGGTACTCGCACGTTACCGAGTTTCGTTACAAATGCAACGAATGTGAGCAAAGTTTTACCTTGCTTCGTTACCTCAAAGTACACGTGCGCGTGCACACTGGCGAGCGACCCTTTCAGTGCACTGAACCCGGATGTGGAAAAGCTTTTGCCCAACGAGGTAACCTCGCCACACACATGAACACGCACACCGGCGAGCGGCCCTTCGAGTGCAATGAAAATGGCTGCGGGAAAAAGTTCGCCGACAAAAGTAACCTCAAAAGGCACATGTACTCGCACTTTGCCCAATTTCGTTTCAAGTGCAACGAATGCGGCCAAGATTTTGCCCAAAAGGACAAACTTATTCTTCACATGCGTGTACACACCGGCGAGCGGCCCTACAAGTGCAAAGAACCCACGTGTGAAAAAGCTTTTGCTTCGTATAGTGCACTACACATTCACATGCGCGTACACACTGGCGAGCGGCCCTACAAGTGTCCCGAGCCCGGCTGCGAAAAAGCCTTCACTCAACAGAACAATCTCTCGATGCACGTGCGCACCCACACCGGTAAACGTCCCTACAAGTGCAAGGAACCCGGGTGTGGGCTAGCTTTCGCTGTCCGGTGCAATTTGAAAGCTCACACACGCACGCACACCGGCGTGCGCCCTTACAGGTGCGACGAGCCCGGGTGTGCAAGGGCTTTTGGTCGCAAGCATGATCTGGTGAACCACGTGCGGACGCACACTGGCGAGCGGCCCTTCAAGTGCGATGAGCCCGGGTGTGGAAAAACATTTAGTCAAAAAACCAATCTGTCGATGCACGTGCGGGTCCACACGGGCGAGCGGCCCTACAAGTGCAGTGAGCCCGGGTGTGGGAAAACTTTTGCTCTACGGAGTACATTGAAGACACACGTTGGCACGCACACTGGCAAGCGACCCTACAAGTGCACCGAGCCGGGGTGTGGAAAATCTTTCGCTCAGCAAAACAAACTCTCGATTCACTCGCGCACGCATACTGGAAATCGGCCCTACAAGTGCGTCGAGCCCGGGTGTGGGAGAGCTTTTACCATTAAATCCAATCTGAAGAGTCACATTGGCACGCACATGGGCCTGCGACCCTACAAGTGTAATGTGCCCGGGTGTGAGAAAGCTTTTACGCGGCAACATTATCTCTCGATTCATGTACGGGCGCACAATGGCGAGCGTCCCTACAAGTGCGGCGAACCCGGGTGTGGAAAAGCTTTTTCTCAGCGAAACAAGCTCGTAACGCACATACGCACGCACTCTGGCAGGCGTTCCTTTTAGTGTCAAAACCCTGGAAACTTTTGCCTTGAGTGGTGATCTACGAAAACCCACGTTTGCACTCGTTAACGAGTCTCCCTTTAAGTACAATGATCGTAGATAAGTATATGAACACGCGTCGACTGAATAACTTAATCATATGTTACTCATTTGCACTTAATATCAATAGATACATGACTTGAATTTCATAAAGAAAATTTTGTGAAGGAAAAAAGTAGTAACAATTGACTCTTTGATTTTTTTAAAGGCACTATCAATTACTACTCGTCCGATGTAACATTTGTTAAATTTCAATGTTATATGCATCAATGTATCTCTGCCATTGACTCATTTGTGTTCGCAACATCTGATTTTTTTTTTTTTTTTTTTTTTGGAGAAATATTTTAGAATTTATTGTGCACAAAATATCAGTTCAACGTATTTGTCACTTTATAACTGTATCACAAAGGCTATTATAACTTATAATTTATGATTTTTCTCAAATGAGATTTGAAAGTTATATTAATAAATACTTAATAGCACTACCACCCGAGTTATAAATTAATGTTATACTTCATAAAAGAAATTTTGTATGGCAACGCATGACCTCGTGTATTTTTTCAAGTTTTTGGAAATTTATAGTCTTATTTCTACGTCACTGTCAACGGTATAGTTTAATAATTATTTGAACATGTGACCTTCATTACACACAGTTATTACTATTTTTTCATTTTCTTAAATGCGATATAAAATATTGTACGTATTACTTTCAGTGGTTATAAACATTGTATTATCATAGTAAACATGTATAATGTAAACTTAGAAAACATACTTACATTTTATTTACTCATTTAGTTTCGATCACTATTACAGCAAATATTTGTTATCAAAGTGTAGTTAAGGTAGTTGTAATAGCATAATTATGTGGATATGAGAAAAAAGAAAAAAAATTGAAAAGGAAGTCCAAAAATTAAGAAAATTGAGAGAACTAAGAAACCTTACAGTAATCACGAAAATTAAATATAAAATAAAAATTGTCTACAGGGGTTAACACAATTTTGTTTAGTACGTGGTAATAATATTAATTTGAGTATATAAATATTACAATTAATTATTTAAAAAAAAAACAGGAAAAAATACAAGATAAAAAAAAAAAGACAAAACATGCATACATTATGTGCATAAATATTTATCTTTCTTTCTCATTATGTACATATATTGGAATTTTCCTAAAATAAAACCATTGCACATATCAATACATCTTTATTTAACCATAACAACCTTCCACATCAATAAAATATTTTAAGGTAAGTAACTATAAGAAATAAGATGAATGGAGTTCCTGTTGACTTCCGATTCCATAGAAAAAATCTTGATGCTTTATAAATTGACTTTTAAATAATAATTTAAATATCACTCGTGGGGTAAACTTAATCAATCGGTTTGAAGGTTTTATAAAAAAAATAAAATTTAAGTCTATATCAGCAGAATGAGAAATATATAAAAAGAAAGTGTCATATACTTGATATTTTTTTAACCAACTAAGTACTATAGAGATTTTGTTGTTTGTATTTTTTTCAATTATTTGAAACATTTTTTACAAAATATCAATTGGTTTAAGAAAAAAACTTTGAACTTATTATTACATTTAATTCTCAATTGAAAAAAAAGGAAAAAAAATTAATTTAACAAATTAATTAATTAAATATTTCAGAACCCCAGAGAAAACTTTTAAAAAATCGAAACCAGCACCTATAAAACGATTTAAAATCAGATATAAATCGCAAAAAAATTTTACCTACTGTACGAATTATTGAATTTTGGCGCTGAGAATTGATGCCGCATTTTAGATGTATATATTGTATACATAAGGCCCACGGCCCACAGCATGAAGCTGAGAGTTAGCATATCACAGTGGACCTAGTCTAACCACAGTCTTCAAAAAAAAACTTCCATACTACTACATATGAGCCGAGACCAGCTGAGTTGAGACTCGTTTAAATTAGCATACTGCATTGTGTGATCCATGCTGTCAGGCTCTCCCACGCCATAATATATACATATAGAGTGTCTCCTCGTGTATTTGCTTCCTGTAAGCAGCAACAGGTTGTAAAGACAAGTGTACATTTGTTACGCATCATTCGGAGTCCAACAAGCCGTAACATCCGTATTGTGTCGCTTCAGCAGGTACAGTTGCAGATAGGATGTAAGGTAGAAGTTTTTACGTAATCAGTGCACCTACCCTTTTTATTCAAACCAAAGCGATTTCTTAAAAGCTGTAATCCTACTTTTACGCGGGTATTCGAACAGCGCACCTAGCACTATCAGGTAAGGGTAAGGGTTATGTTATTTACAAATCAGGAGAGGAGGCTCAGCGCGCGCTTTTACGATGTGTACTGTGTGAGTCATGCAACCCTATTATTTTGTCTTAAAAGATTGATTGTCACGTGATTGAAGCCTTTTTAGTCGATGGGAAATTTTTTTAAACTGACCACGTGACTTATTTTCCGTGATTTAAAAAAGGATCAAACTGTTTAAATTTTAATAAATAAATCAAGTTCACTAGTACTTAATTAGTCATCATAAAAAGAATAACTTCGAATGAAGTATTTGATGCTATATGATTGGTTCAAGCTAAGGTCACGTGATTATAGGGGTCAAATGACATTCGTGGGTTTTAAAAACAAACCGTTTGTAGTTTTATTAGATTGTCCTTAGTTTAGATGAAAAATAGATGTAAAATATAAATAAAGGTTATAAGGCTATAATGTATAAGTTAAGTATGTTACACAGTATTTTTTTAGCAAAATAAAAATGGGTGTACTACCAGAAAATAATCTCTGGTACTACTAAGGGGAATAACTTATAGATCAGTCAACACTACTTGTGAATTAAGAGACTACTTATTAAAATATCTTTCATTAGAAAATATTATTGAGTGCGCAAAGCTAAGCTAAGAAGTTATCTAAAGACAAAAGTTACTGTATAATTAAAATTTAAATTGGCACACATAAATGTAGTCGTAATAGTTTAAGTAATACTGTAATCTTCAAAAGTTTATTTTTAATTTCAAAACATTCATATTTCAAGAAAAAATCAAATATGTACAAAAGTATATTTTTTTTAAATAAAAATCACATGCATTTATAAATGTAAACTATTATAAGATATGTTTATTTAGTTAAATTAAAAAACAAAAATCTTACGAAAGATTATTTTTCATAAAATATACTTATAATGAAACGAAAATCAATTTTCTTATTTTATGACAGTGTCTAACATTCATAAATAATAATAAAAACATATCCGTAAGATTTTCATTACATGTGATTATTATTATTCTGGTTTTTTTCATTGTCATAGCTATATTTATAACTTTTTCCATACTATTGTTTAAAAGAAATCTGTCAAGAGGGAGTTAGTGACCTTCGATCGTTCTGAATCCATGCAATGTAACAGTAAAAATTATTTTTACTGAAATTGTTTTTTATGATTGTTACTTACACTTGTACATCTTGAAAGATCTTTTAATTATGCCAATTGCATTAAACATTACAACTTTTATAAGATCCGAAAACTTAAAAAAAATTGATTGTATTTGTACAACATCAAAATTTGAATGACTTAGAATTAATATTATGTGTCTTAAAAATAAACTATTATTGTTTTGAGCCAATACCTATATCTCTAATAGTTTTTCAAGGTTTTTATAAATTATTGAAACGTATAAAATGAGTGTTATAAGTTTTCTATACTTGTTAAAATTTCATGAAAATTTCTTAACTGCTAAATATTTATGAAATTATAAAAAAATTTTGGGTTCGAGGTTCCAACCTATAGTTGCTCAATGGCCATACCAGTAATTTTTAATTAAATTTGTCAGCTTCAATAACTGTATGTTAACATTTACACGATCCTATTTTTCGCTTAGTGAGTTAAATCCTATACAGCTTAATTGTTAAAACACTGTGTGTGATGTACTACTTTTAGAATTTTCACAATACTTTTTAAAATTAAAGTATTGATAAATTTATTTTTCATTTATACTAGTTATGTTGAACGTGTTTTCGCATGATCTGACTTATGTGACTACTTTTATACTCAGTTTTATTATTTAATAAGCGCACCATACTAGAAAGAAGATTACAATTTAGCTAATTTTTAGTCTTTTTTAAACGTATTCATGAACCCTCTAAATCTTAACTTTGCAACGCTTATGTTTCCATTAATTA